CCCCAAAACCCCAAAACCCCAAAACCCCATTATCTAATTAATTCATATCTTTCGAGTTGATAACTTTTGATAAATTAAATAAATAATCAGCTCAAACACCTATTTCCTTGAGCTATTCGAATGCATTATTGAGCTCAAGTTCATGCTCATATTGAGTTTCCAAGTTGTCACTGCTGCCCTTTCTTCTTTTAATATGTCTCTTCTAGTCAAAGTCTTAAAATAGCTCTGGGGCGAGTTTATCAACAAGCTCAATAACCTTTTGTTTAAGATTCTTTCTCATTTGAATCAAAGTAAACATATCTTCTGTGTAGAATAAACACAGGAGTCTTGACTACATTAGTTAGTAGTTATAAATAAGCATGTCTCTTGAAAGGATGCAGAAATAGGAATAAACTGGGAAGAACAAGAAGAAGACCACTGTCCATATTATTCTTTGGGTAAATTCCAAATCACTATTAGGATATATGACATTTAAGAATACTTACAATTTTCCTGTTAAGTAAAAGAAGAAAGTAGAAAATCCTATGCAAAAGATAGGATAAAGCATGATGGTTGTGGTCAACTTTTTAGTTGCAATCACATCAGCACCAACTACCTTAACCGAACTTCCAGCTAGAGCTTCCTTTCTAGCTTTTTCTCCAAGATGCTTATTCAGCATTCCTAATGGTAAAAGCATTACCAAACCTGCAATCGACTATAATTATTAGAATATCTTTAGAAATTACTAATGAAAGGAAGAGTAAAACCTTTGGAATGATAATTAGGAAGTTAATCATTATTCTGAAAAAGTTGATCCTGATTTGCTTAACTTCTGAATCATGAACATTGAATACTTTTAATTCTTTAACATAGTCATCAATCTACTATAGTAATCCTTGCAACTCAGGTGTGTGTCTATAAGCATTGAAACCTTTGCAGAACTTCTATTGAATATCATTGATTTGCTCATTAGTAAGATTTTTTGGGTTTCTTGGCATGTAAAGATCTCTTGCCATATAAACCTACTAGAGTTCTTTATAAGATGGGGCATTGAGAGTGACATCCTTCATTCTTCTTTCTACCTCAGCTAATAGTTCTGCACAAGCCTCTCTTTTATTTTTTTTATATGTTTCTACTATATTTTGAGGGATCTTGTATGGCCTAGAAAATTCTACAATAACTTGGGATCTAAATCTGTGAGGTTTGAAGTATTTTAAGCCGCAAGCTATGATAGATATTTAGCATTTAGGATCTCTAGCCATCGCTCCTAGAGCCATAATAGATACACCAGCTTTTATTGGAAGCATCTCAGTTCTATCATGGGAACCACCTTCTGGGAATATGCCAATACTCTAACCATGAGTTAGTCTATCAATCACAGCTTCATATACATGAGTTTAATCAAGTTTAGGAATAATTTTAAAAGCAAGTTCACTATCCTCAATTATGTTGATTCCAGGAGCTTTAAGTACTATCTCTGTATCACTGATGACTTTGTCTACAATTTATTCCGGAATCTTTAATGGAATAAAGTAAATCTTATCTTACCTTAGATCCCATAAATTTAATTGTGTCACCAGCCATAATCTCTTTCTTGAACTATGTTCCTACTCCAATAATTTCATTATCAGACTTCACTTTAAGCTTTCCAGTTCCTGATTTGGCTAGATCTTGAGGTCTTTCAACTGAAATGCATTTCATCTTTTTCGCAAACCATGAGATCACTGGAGTTCTCATTGCTTTCTAAGCTACAAGGAAGCTAATCTTCTATTTGCAATAAGCAAGAATCATCTTTAAAATAGTTAGATGACTAAGTAATTTACGCAAGGATCAATATATTGATTAGCATGATTTCCACAGAAGATTACTGTCTCATTCTGCCATTATAATTATAAAAGAATAATCCTTACCATATCGATGTTACTTAGCCCTACAACTTTGATTTCCTTGAAGAATACATTGATAAGAATCCTTTATTATAATATTTAAACGATTGATGATTACTTGATGAATACTCTTATAGCAGTATAGACTGACAATACAGAGTTGTCCTTCTTACCCATCCTTTTCTAATTTTGTTAATAAATATCTTTAATATAGTCTTATCTTATATATCTCTCTAAGATTAATGATATAATTGAGGCTAAGGTGACGCTTTTTGATTTATTGATATCTTAACTTATTAAAACTATCATTTGCTTTTCAAACTGAAATATTTCTTTATGGGGTTTTGGGGTTTTGGGGG